AAAAAAATTGAGATAATAAGTGATCTATAACTCCTTAAAAACCGCGAGCGAAGCGAGCGAAATTTTTCTTGGGGTACGCGCTAAGCTCAAAATATAGACGTTTAAATGTTGTTTCTATTGACAGTTAAAGGCATTAAATATATTGCTTTGCTCATTCATTTTCACCTATTATTGAACAATGCTGCGCTCGTTAAACGGTATGCGATGATAGAAGCCAAATTAAGACAGTTGATGGGACATGCATGTTGCAAGTTCGCTCCCTGCTTCCGCATCTTATAACGGCAAAAAGGCGGGTATACATACAGCCTACGTACACCTTCTGGAAATATATTTTTCTTTTTTCACTCCTTTTTTTTAAAATTTTCCTTTTCTCCTCCTCTTTTTCCCTTTCTCTTTCGCTCTCCCTTCTCTTTCTCTCCCTTTCCTCTTTCTTTCCTCCTTTTTTTTTTAGGGGGCGCCAGATCCCCAGGGGGGGGCAACCAGCCCTTTGCCCCCCTCCCCAAATCCGCCCCTGCGGGCGGTGTAAACTTCGCTATCGCTCTTGTCAATTTAATTTGTTTCAAACTAAGTACTTCTAATTAGCTTTTGTTAAAATATATTCTGTTACTGGCACCTTCTAAAATTGTTGTTAATTTCACACACAGAAAAAAATAACGGTGCGCAAGGCTCCGCACAGCCGGCCGGACACAGCCGGGCAGCTCCTATTTCACGGTAGACTTGTACTGCTTACGCACCCATAGCAGGGAGGCCGGCCTTATAAGCAAACACTCTCCTACTAGCCCCCCCCCCCTTTTGCACACACACACGCTCGCATACACATGCCGTACCGGACGCTCTACCTTTGGCAGCCCCTCCTATTTCTCACGTCGCACTTTACACTCTCCTTTATCCTAGTCTCGCCTACCGGAAGCGCGGCCCGTGAGCTGCCCGACCCGAGCTCCGCCTTTCTGTAATTTTCCGGAAGGGGCTAAACTCGCCCACGCGCCCCATCCGGCGTCCGGGCATTTTCTTTTTTTCTTTTTTCTTTTCTCTGCTGTACTTTTGTGTGCCTACCTAGCAATGCGAGAAGGAGACTGAACGCTCCCGCCCCTGACTGACCCCAACTCTCCCGCCCGCTGCCGTGCCGTTTGCTCATGCTCATATTGTTTTTCTCGTCCGCAGTACCGGACGGAGCGCAACGCCTCCATCGCCATCCTGGTCATGTGGTGGATCATCCTGGTGATCTCCATCCCGGCCTACATCCAGCACGGCGTCGTGCACTACAACTATGACGAGACGGACAACTCGCACTGCATCTTCTTGCAGGTGGACGACCACATCCGGCCCGACGGCTACAGCGTCTTTACCTTTAGGGTAAGTTAAGTGCTTGCGTCTTGCGATACCCAAAAAGGTGTATCATAATTGTTAGTAGAGACGCGCCACTGTTTTGATCGAGTGCACTGCTGCGGAAGCTTTTAGAGCGCCTGATAGGTAGGCAACAAATTGCAAGCAGTGCATACGTGTACTGCGGGCTGGCCTACCCCGAGTCTCGCAGGCGCCCAGCTCCCTGTAATTCATCGATATCGTCTGAGAAAAGCGGACGTTGTTTCGGGACGAAGCGTGGCCGGTCTTTTCAGACGTCGCTGTTCAGACACATCTGTTTACCTTTAGGATAGATAGATTTATCATATTTTTCTTAACCACATTCACAAACCCTATACCCTAGTAACACAAAACTGTCGCACATAGTGCATTTTTAGGCCCGCGATTAGCGGTGCCTATTGCTTTCGCCCGAAAGTTTTTTATTTTTATTCTTGACGATGGCCCCTTATGGCAGAGCCGATCGTGCCTAAGCGATTTGGACAAAATTTTACTCAAAAATACTTCGAGAAATTAGAATTTTTTTAAGGTGGGTATGATGTTAAATTGTCTGATGAAATTTGAGAAATTTGAGTTTGCATCCACGCGTTTCCATGGAAATGACGAGCTGAGCAGCAGGCCGAGTCGAGCCAGGTAAATTTCGGCCAATCACAAATTTGCGCGGGAAAGTTCGACCAATGGAATCGATCGCCTGTTGCTTTGTACAACCCTATCCAAAAAATTATTTGGCCCTGGCGTCGATATAGTGGTCGCGTTTAAATAATACTATCGTGCCGCCGTGTATAAAGATACAACACAGACGCCGCTTTGAACGCGGCCGCTGAGCGCCAGCCACGGTTTTGATTGTTGCCTGGGAGTGTAGTTCCGCCTTGTAATAATTTCGTTTTAAAAGGGGCGGAAAGTATACTGATGCAGCCAACCTATAACGGAAAATATATATTATGTTTTTACCTTATTTAAGATTATAAGTGTCAACATACAATAGAACACGTCTAAATGTGTACGTGTTTTTAATATATTAAACACTTATCAGTGATCTCTTATCTGACGCTGTGTTAGTAATATTTTTGAAAAGTTCACGTTCCTTGTCGTGAATGTCATGGCAGTGTTCATTTGAGCAAGCTAGCTTGGCGAACGATCAGCATATTAAACTTTGAAATATTTCTAATACACAAATTGTTTAGAATTTTAAGTGTACAGGAAATTTACCACCGTATGTATAAATATTTTCAGTAGATCATTTAATTAAATCTGATCAACATAAGTTTCCTAGATATTTGGCTGCAGTGTACATCAAAATCAGTAACTACCAATGTAATGAATCGTTGTAGTATTATATATGTATACATGCCAGTGTTAACGTTAAAATCTAAGCGGGCCGTTAACGCGTTAGCGTTAGAATTTTTCTTCCTCCCTCATTTATTAAGGTACCGCGACTTCTGTTGTACAGATTCTAATAAAATTTTATCGAAAAATCAATCCAAAAATTAGATTTCATTTGACTATAGCCTCATTACAATCCTTCTGGCCAATTTTGAGAAAATTAAAGTTAAACATCGAAATTATCACGAAAATCGGCAAAATCCTGCCAAGCCAACAATGGTTCGCACTTCTAGCATTCTTTATGTTGATCCCTGCGGCTTACATTTTCACTTAACAGTAAAACGTATAAGACAAAAATTCAAGACCGAACATTAAGCTTCCGAACGATATGTTCAAAATTTTCGTGCGACGTTCCAGACGAGAACGACAGCAAGCTGAACAATATGCGACATTTACGCTTATTCTTCGTGTCTTGTTTTTAATTTCTAGCGCAGTTAGTATTGATTTAAACAGGGAAGTGTAAGCGAGCCGATTGTGCACCGTTCTTTAAGCCACCGAATAAGCTTTTAATCGATGCCAGAAGATATCCCGATTACAACTTCTACCGGTTTAAAATCAAAGCTGCACAGTTTGTTTAGAAATGGGCGTGGCTACGACAATCCTGGGTAGAAAGGAGGCGTGGCTTCTAACAATGGTACCAACCTTTGCAAACGTACTCGCTTCATGTTTTTGGATAAATTGAGTGATGTACTCTCCTCACTTTTATGTTCAACCCACGTCTAATAACCCCTTCTTTAGCGATTTCGCGTGCACTTCAGAGGTGGTTAAACGACATGTGTTTAAATAATTGTAACTATAAGTAAAAGTTGTCATTGCCGGGGAATGCCCACTAAGTAGTTTCTATAAGGCGCGCTTGCCTCGCTGTTGGTTTTATTATTGTGGTGACTTCAGAATTAAGAGCCACAACACTAACCAACAAGTTTTGACGACTTCCCTCTTTTCTAATTTTCAACGCTGAATCTATTGAAGTGATTAATTAAATGATTATTTCTTCGTGTGCATACGATTGTTCGTGAAAACTTCAGGGGCCGATTAACGCGTTAGCGTTAGAATTTTTTTTTTTCAATTATTGTGACGATAACGAGAATCCAATAGTAGTGGCTTTTCCACAGTAAGACGATTGTCGCTAGTCTTTCAAATTTAAGCTATTCTGCTGTATTTTTATCGATTCTTGTTCGAATCCAAAAGTGGTTTTTCGCTTCCATTACGATAGCTGGCCGATAAAGATTTTCGTCTCAAAGCAAAAAGACAGTACAGCGATAGAATCATTTTTCTCATTTCGTATATCGCACCGATGGTCCGTGTCTTCTTTTTTATACTGTTGTCCGACAGTCGTAAGACAGCTCTGTGCTAATAGGGTCGGTCTCAAAAAAAATGGAAAAAAATATTCCCCCACCAAAAAAAAAATGAAACAAAATGTAATATCTGCACGCCCTTGAGCCTGAAGCCCGCCACGCGCCCGGCGCATTTCTCTCGCCGGCTGGTCCTCACTGACAACTCATTACCGCGGGCGCGCTGCCACTTGAGCCTTCATTGAGCCAGCCGCTGGGTCCTCGCCGGGGCCCCCAACTCTTTGTTATTAATGAGTCCACTGTCACTATGGCTGCGCCCCGCGGCCCGCCCGCGCCGTCATAAGGGGCGCTGCTGCAGCACCGCGGCTCCTCCTCCTCCTGCTCGCTCTCCGCCAGGAGGAGCCCCCATAAAACTCGTCCCGAGCAAAGCTCCGCAAACGCCGCGACCGCGACTCGCCCCGGAGCAGCGCTGCGCGGTGCTGTTCCGCGCAGCGCAGGCGACCCCCTTCCGTCCGCCGTGATGTATGTAATCACCTGCGAGATAGGTAGTGATCAATGCACCCCCTTGGCCCCGGGTCCCGTCCCCGCCTCGCCCCGCCCCGCCCTGTCCCACACAGCCGGAAGGATAGGGCGGCAGAATGCAGGTCCGAGAGGCAGCCGACCCCACCCCTGTTGGTTCAGGAAACTGCTCTGCGACGTAGTCATAGTCAGCAGGGCGTGGCGCGGAGGGGAAGAAAGAAAGTTTCAAAAGAAGTGCAGCGAGGAAGCCGTCGTGCTCCCGGCCTAGTCAGACGCTAGGTCCTCTGCTCGTACACAGAAAATACAAGAAAATACACTCTAAGTGTGCACAGACTGACCCCCATACCCCTTTCGTGCAGCCGTGTCCGCGGTTGGCTCACCACTCGTTACATACGTAAATCGTAGCAAATACCGGAACTATTTCATGAACAACCCGCTCTGCAATCCTAAAGGTTCGCGGACCTCCCACGACAGCAGCAGGGTGCGCCTGCGCGCGCGTTCTCCCACAACTAACTAACTAATGACTGCCTGCCAGCAACTGTCGCCAGGACGGGGGGCCCTTCGCGCTCAAGTTGGGCGCGCGGAGACAGCGCGAGTTGCCACCCTTTCGGCCGCGGACGGCGGTGTGGGGGGCCCCGCGAGAACCCTGCTAACTGTTCTGGGGCTTTGCAATAATTGTGAACCAATGACGAATCGTCAATTTTATGACGCGAAGACAAGTCGTCGCAATTGCGAAGAAGCTTTTATTTCGTGTGTTAGGTTTACAAAGCACACAAATCCTTTCGACAGTGGTAATGTTCCCGACACCTGTAGGCTTCAGCCAGAAACGTGTTTTCTTGATTTATGCGTTAACTTTCTCGATGCAATGCAAACCTCTCTGGACTGGCAAGGCGATGTTGCATCATTGAATCAAGACAAAGTTAACTTGAATCACGAACATAATCCTTTTTGGGTTTTGAGTTGTCGGGTGTCTTGTAGCCCTCACCCTCCAGTACACCTCTCCAATGAGCCTCCTCGCCTAGCCAGCCCCCCCCCCCCCTCAACCCTTCTCACGCGATGGTAATAATTCTGTACCAGTTTTAATTTGGTAAGTTTTGTGTCTCCGGCGCGCTGCTCGACGGGCCGCCGGGCCGGCCGCCACCGTCGCCTCCCCACCTTGTGCCTTTTGTAAAGTTGGCCAAGTCTTTAAGCTCGCCTTACCCTTTTCCCGCCACGCCTCTACGATAAGGTGGCGCAGCGTGTTGGCCTATCTCTCCCCCCCCCCCTCTCTCTCTCTCTCTCTCTCTCGCACACGCAGAGCCTGCGCCGTGTCACGCGTCCAAACGTGAGAACGACCCGCCGACCCGCGCGCGCGCCGCGCGACTTTTTCCGAATAAACTTTTCCAATTTGAGGCGGGCACGGCCGCTTGGAGGGGCCGGCTGTTTGGCTGGACTTGACTGGTGTGTAGGGCTCTGACTGGGGGCCGGGTGGCGAGAGGAACCGGATTTGCAGAGCCATTGCCTCGATCGGAACGCGATTCCTAACAGCCCGCCCTTTGTCACGCGGGGTGAAGGAGGACAGGCTGGAGGGGAGGAGGGTACGCCTCTTGACCCGCGCTACGCCACGCCACGCCGCACCGCTTTGTCCCGCCTCTCTCACTTTAACTGGGTACCACAGTTTGCCGGTGAGGAAACGTATTTAAGACCAGCAACGGTTTACATGACCACCCCACGATTTCCCCCAAAATTTTACCACTTTTTCTAGACCACTATCTAAGACATTGAGACCTGGAACCAGCATCCTAAAAAATTTATTGAAGG